GCAGGGTAAATCTCGCTCACAAACTATCAAGTCGACAAAGAAATACAGTGTAAATACAACGAAGAACCGCAGTGAAAGGCAAGCGCACTTCACGTAAGAAAGTCTGAAAAGGTCACCAGAATGTTTGTGGGAAGGATACGAGTATGTTTTAACTTTGAACGATGAGACCAAAAGGTGGACAAAGAAGCCACTGTGCTACCACCCCAGGGAGTGAATAAAAATTGCCAGAGACTATGAATTAATTCTAAATCAATTGTGCTCTAACGAAACGCTCTACAATACAGATACCGATTCACACACCTCAGTGTCATCAGCAGAACAGGGCTGCTAACGAATGTTTTTCTGGAACTTCTTTTAAAAGCTGAGATCTCAAACTACCATTCCTCTCCCGCTCCCCCTGGACAGCCTTTATACAAGACAGATAAAAGGGGAACTTCCCGTCCACGGCCACGCAGCATAGGAGGAGATTTCAAAGACAAAGATCAATGCCTAATCTTATCTTATCTTAATGATGCACAAATCTTATCATTCAGGGTTATTTCCTACTTGACGACTCCCAATAGCGTATCTTATTTATTTACAGAAAGACAGGAATTAACAACAGCTCATGACATTTTTATTTTAATGAAATTTAAAAAGGCAGTTATTAGTTATACATACACACAACTGATTCTGTACTTGTTAGTCATAAATATAGAACATTCAGAAGTACAAAATACACTTTATCCACAGCACAATTTCACATCAATATGAAGAGTTTAAACAGATAAGTAACCAAGTGCCTAACAATGACAGAAGCCCATTTTTGGAGTTGTCTTATTTTTCTTTTCTTTTCTTTTTTTTTTCTTTTTTTTTAAAGACCATTAATCTACACAAAGCAATCAGTGCCCACAGTCCTCAGTTCCATGAAATGCACTCTGGTTTAGAGTAGGAAAAGACTGACCTTTTAAAGACAGTTAGATGCCATCACCTTTTCTTTGCACCATTAACAGAAACAAAACCAAGCCCACATTCTCCTCTTCTCACAGCTAACAACTGTGAAAAATGGGACTCTGGCAAAAATCACCTGAAGCCAAACTCGAGCACTGCCAGGAAAAGTGAAAATATCTGAACTAGAAATTAGTCCACTCGATACCTTGCAAACAAAGAGCAACAGCAGTATGACGCTGATAAGGCATTAATGACAAAATGGCTGTATTATTCTCGAAAAAAGAGTACACCTATGTATAAAAATATATGTCATAGCAATTGGGTAAATCCAACACTATTTAACACTGTGCCAAAAGTAATTAAGAGTTAAAAAGGCAGTACTGCAAGAAATATTTACAGTTTCATACTGTACTTCAAAAGAACAAAAAGGCAACAAAGCTACAAATGGAACTATCGGGTTAAAGCATCACCGTAGGTACTGCCAGTAGCACTTGTAACAAGTAATGTGATGGAGTCCCTCTTGTCCAACAGGATTGCTTGTCTGAATAAATGAATGTAAATACTGTAGTATCTAAAATCTTCTCAGTCTACATGCCCGCTCATTGAAATAACTCACCCAGATCATTACTATTTGCAGTTTCTTGCTCCATCAGTTTAAAACCCAAAAGATTCGGTTTCAAGAAACACCGTGTTTGCAACACAGTCTGATCAGAAATCACAGCTTTATTTCCAGCTTAAAAAACACAAAAGAAACGAGAAATCCACCACCCGTGAAATTCTGGAAACAGGCAGCCAAAGTGCCAGCAAAGCTACACCAACGGCACGTAATAAAAACTTTAGCATTCCAAATGCACTTTATAACTTCAGCTACAGGTAAGTAAGTTGCTTCAGTAACCAAACACGTGACGAAAAAGATACAGCACAGCCAGCGCTACGCAGCTTTTTTGGCCACAAGACCTGGGACGAGGCTGTTTCAGAGGAGAAGCCACTGACACGACGGCAGCACACGGCGAGGGCAGCGCAGGATGCCCAGCAGCGGTAGCAAATGCTGAACTTGCTCGTTTGCTCGGTCAGAAGCACAAAGTTGCCAAACTTTAAGCTCATTAAGCGCTCCCTCCTCGCTGGCTCGGGAACGGCAACCCAACGCCTCCCACTTGGGCGTGGGAAAGCGCTGCAGAGATGGGACGGCCGGGAACGGGAGGGGAGGTAAGGGAGGGTGGAAACGCCAAGAAGAAAGCACTGGCTCGGGACGGCAGAACAGAAACGAGGGGCGATAACGGCTCGCAGGGAAAACCCCGAAGCTGGCACTACCCGGACTGCCTCTGAACAGAGTAGCCATCCCCTTTCCCAACCGGAAAGGCAGGAGTGGTCTACAAGGTGAGAAGCAGCCCATGCTCTGACGCCTCAGGCATACTGGCTTCAAAAAAATAATACTGTATTTAAAAAAACAACAAAAAAGAGAGATGTGCTTGAAATTCTGCTAACAGTGCACTTCTGACTGCACAACCGAATTCTGTACACGAGAAGGCTTCTACAGTAATATAGAAACCATGACACACTAAGGAAGTTATCATCGCTGATGTTAGGAGAAAGAAAATTACTTTAAAAAACTTATTTTTAGATTGAGTTCAGGAACAAAAGTAAATTATAAATATACTTTGAGCAGTTTCTTGGGTAAAATAAAACAGAGGAACAGCGTTTTTTTCGATTAATTTTTCACTTTACGGAGAAATGTTTTTTAAAAATTTTAGAAGAACTGACATTTATCATGTCAAGTGTCTTCTGTGCAGAGATATAAACTGCTCATCTACCGCTTTCTTCCTCGTGATTAGCCCCTTTTAAAAGCATGCCCCACTGTACGGACGCTGACCACCTCGCTTCAGCCGGCGCAGCATCTAGGCACCTTTTACAGACATCAATGAATTTCATTCTGGGACAGCAGAGCTTTGCCCGTCTAATTCAATGAGCAGTCATTCGCCCGAGCAGCGTGAGCGGAAGGGAAGAAGGCTCCAAAGGAATAAACATCCACGTGTTTAAAAGAACAGTGCGTAAGCGCATGGCTTGCTCACCTCAGAAGCTATTTTCCCGATCTCTGGGAGCGAAGAGATACGAGGTTTTTTGTTTGTTCTCAGTGTGATTTTGGTGAGGCAAGTACAGACCAGGAGATCTGAGGCCTCTCCCGTACTGCATCTAGAGATATAAAAAAATTTCCTAAAAAAAGAGTCCCTAGCCCCACTTGCACGTAGGGCAAGAGATTGGTCCCAGATTTAGCGAGAGAAACAGTAGGAAGGACTCTTCCTGGATACTGAAAACTACATGCTGTCCTCGGAGAAGGCCGGGAAAGCAAAGTCAGATGGGAACACCGCCATACGGTTAACCGTTAAAGCCGCGTCCCTGGGTCATGTTCACTGCAGCCCAGCCACCTGCACTGCTTGTCAGCATGAAACCTGTGTGGCCAGAGCAGGCTGCAGGACAGGGGCCTGCCTGCTTTTCAAGATATTACCCTGACAAGGTGGACTGCAGCGATGTGCACAGTGCCTCCCATGGGAGGCACCCCAGAATTCAAGAGGAGCTATGAGAAGGCAGACCTTAGTGCTGCGAGGTCTAAGAATCGCTGCGGACGTTGAGATCTTCTAGATGGGGGCTATGCCCTGGGGTTGCTCTTTCAAGGTCTGTGATGGCCCCTGAATATGCAAAGGCTGAGGGAAGCTGCCCGCCTTCCTCCTCTGCAAAGGCTGGCCACCACCGTCCAACCTCAAAGGTTACGAACAACCTGCAGTGGGAACTCTGGGCTCCTTGTCCTTTGTGAGCGATTCCTTCTCCTCCCATCCCAGAAGAAATGATCCGGATAAAAATGCTGACCTTACAACCCAAACTCCGTAACTTGTCACGCATACGAAATACTGAATAAAAAACTTTCTACCACATTTCTGATGAAGACATATGGTAGGTGACTCACCCAAGAGGAAGGTGATTAACTTACCTCTGCGGAAAAGCATATAGCATTCAGAATAGTCAAGAGTCCTCAACATATTTGGTAAGCTGAAAATCCCATATTTAACAGAATAGGGTTAACAGGCTTTAACAGAACTGATTGCTTGGGAATCCAAGCAGAAATTCAAGTTATCACTGTGTACGCAGTGGACAATAGTCCAATTGATATCTATTACCAACTCACTCTAAAAAGATTATACACTACAAAACCATCTCACTGCTTGCAGCAAATGAGCTTGAATGATTTCCTAGTAACAGGCCACCACCTTGCACTGTTAAAATGTGAGGTTTCACAGTATAAAAAAGTACTTCACAGAAAGGAAATGCAGCTAATATAGAAAACGCAATCTTGATGTGTTTACAGTCATTTTTTACGAGGCAGTATTTTTGGGAAAGCCAGACCAATAGAAATCAAAGCAGCCGGTGAGAAATGTATAGTTATAGGCCTCAACTCAGTGCAAAAACAGACTAATAGCTTATGTAAGTAAATGTTTGTTCTGAATAGAGAACCACCTGAATTAAAAGTAAGAACACCTATGTGAAGTGATGGAGACTCCCACGATATCTAAATCCTCCGCACGTATCGCCAACTTTTTCAGTACACTCCAGAATGGACCCTTTGTAAAGGCAAAAGAAACCAGTACAGGAAATCACTTCATACAGCACAAGATATACATAAAGTACCAAAATGTACACACATTCAAGTTTAAGTTAGAAAAGGCGGAGTTGAATCTCCTGGTGAGAGAGGCCTACATTATGTTGCTTAATCTCACATTTAAAGTGACCTAAAATCTACAAGAATCAAAGAAAACAGAATACTGTGTCTGCTTCCAGAAACTTAAGCTTAAAGCAAGGCATCGAAATTGAGCGGTAGGCACTGTAACAAGACATTACCTTACCTTTTCTCTGTTAGTCTTTGTTACTTCGTTATCTATTTAAAAATTACCATTCAAAGGAAATATTAGGTATCATTCACATTCAATATTTAAGACTCAGAGATTTATTTTTTTTAAACCAAGCAAAGTTTTTCATCTCTGAGGTAGATGACAATAAAATTAAAAAAAAATGGAGCTGTCAATGAACACTAACAAGTGCTGGAGCTCCTCTGTCGGCACTGACGCACCCCAAGGAGGAGAGAGCAAGCCCTACACCACTATCTGAAACATGAGAAATGTGTCTTCTGGTTTAGTAGCTTCTACAGAAATGCAACACAGAAAAAGCAGAGCCAAAATTACACTGAAATGGCCTTGGAGAAGAACTTCCATTTCTGCTTCGCAAGCTACTCCGAAAATGGTGGAAACATGCCCAGGTCAGCAAAATCTTCAATGTTGTAATTGCCAGTACCCTGCGTCGGATCCCCCGGCATTGGCAACATGTCCTGCACGATAAGGAAAAATCAAAGTGAAGTGTCACTTGCTAACACGTTATCCAGACACAAACTGTTTCCTGTTCATCTTTTCAGTGTAAAACCAGAACAGGCCAAAGGTTAGATAAATAAGGTGACAACCAGACCTGTGCAGGGGGCTGGGCTAAGGTTTATGTGCTACTTATGTTTTGCTGGAGCGTTTCTGAACGGGAGGTGGGACTTTAGCAGGGCAGAAGTTTTGGATTGCTCCTCTGAATAAGGCACGTTTCAGGTGCCCCATACTCCTCCCAGGCTGAAACAGCTCCCCTTGGAATGGGTAGCTACATATGGAGAGAAGCAAACCGGAGCCCCACGTCTCTGTGGGCCATCGAACCACACTGCCATCAGCTCCACTGGAATTTCCCTGAAGCGATTAAATTTTGCTAACGGAGAGAGATGCAACAGATTAATCTTGCCTGGGCCATGGGGTAAGAGCGTGCAGACAGGTAGTTATTCCAGATGTAGTGATGTTATTTGCTCCTGTGTGAAGCAACGGTTCGTTCACACAGGAATACTTTCAGGCTAACGTCTCTTCTGCAGCGTTCCTGCGAGCAACTGAGCACGGGCCCTGTCTTGCAGGTGAATTTACTTTCTAAAAGATAATGAGGTGCCCCACTTCTAAACCTTGCTTGGGGCTTGAACTGTCTTTTCTGCATTTATCTGCATTGTTTTGTTGCAAATTGTCTTCTTGATCTAATTTAAAAACAAGTTATACAAGGACAGAGACCTTACTAGTTAACTTATAAAGTCCTACTCCATCTGTAGTGAAGGCCCAAAATTATACTTAATATTACAAAATTAGGTAGTTGAAGAGGATTGTTTACCAGCTATCTGATATCTGACTGGGTTTAACCTTAAAAAATGATTGGCCACTATCTTCTATGCAGTAGACGACTCCTTTCCTGCTTGAACTATCAAACAGAATTACATTGATGTCCAATTGGACTTGACTGGGATTTTAGAGGCCAGCACCAGGATAAGAAAGACACTCTATTTGGGATGATTTCATGGCTTCCCTGCAAAACACGTAAGCCCTAAGTATAGGGTGCAAAGAGAAGGGAAAACAGCATTTTACATCAGCAAAGGTGCTGTTCTTCGGCAGAAAACAAAACCACCTCAGTTGTAGCTAATGCCAGCTAATAGCAGTGCAAACCTACGGCAGCACACATTGCTCCAAGCCCTGCCAGCACCCTGGTCATCGAGGGCCATGGTTCTTCACTTTAGCAGTGAGAAGCTGTCAGAGGGACTTTGGGCTCACTGAACTCTCCTCACCTGGAACACCTCGGTCTGACTGGGCTGTGGGTGCGAATGTTGGTCGCCGCTTTGCTGGTTGTGATGTTGGCTCTGCCACTGGGACCAGACTTCGGAAGGTCTCCCCTGGAACTGGCCGCTGCTCTGGCCGCCTTCAGCTGGACGGGGGGGAGAAAGGGCAGAATTCAGAGAGCAGCTCCTCCAGAACGCCTGCCGGCTTTTGAGGCTTCATCCATCAATGCCTGTGTTTGCAAATGAGTCTTAGAAAAAAAGACCCTGAGTGACACCCAACCCCTGCGGGGTGGAAGCCGAAGGGAGTTTCAGTCCTGATTGCAGGGTGGGGGCCAACCTGAGAGTAAAGCTGATTGCCGCGGCAATGGCAGGTGAATTGCTCACAGCAAAACGCACAGTGACACCGTAAGCCAGGCACTGGAAGACAATTTTCAAGCATCCCCCCCACCGCTTTTTAATCACTAATAAGGAATATTTGCCATTTCACTTAAAACCCAAACTGCATCATCTGAATGCTCTTTCTCTTTAAAAGACTAATTCTTGCAGAGCAGTGGGTGCACAGTTACCTACTCATCTAAGAAGCATGTAAGCAGATGTAAGATTTTGTAAGCAGATGTAAAAACAATAAGATCAACAGACAACAGCCTTGCTGTATTAAATGCAGACATTGCTGTATTAAATGCAGAGTATTGTTTGCTGGCCTGTCTTATCCTCCAATATTACAGCTGCAAAATGATTTATTTAACATGCAGCTTACAGCAAATTTTTATCCTGTTCGTGTGGTGATGGTTTCTTAAACGTCTGAGGCCATTTAAATTTCACAGAGAGTAACAAGAACAGCAAGGTTTTATGGTAAATACACTTAAAATTATGATTTCAGGGAGATGAATTTCTTCTAAATAGTCTACCAGAAAAAAACATGATGCCACATACATTAATTTGGTCACCTATTACACATACACTTTTCATGAGTACACTCACAGGTCACACTTAAGCTGGACCCATTTTACCCTGTATTTCTACAGACTGGCCCCAAATGTATAAAATTTCTGGATAATTTTCCTTCAATTATTTACAATATCTCCTTCTAAGAATTAGCATTTTAGAAAGCTTGTCACCATGCTTTTCCTCAAAACATTTTCTCCTCTTTTTTTTCTATATAACTACTCCTACTATTTTTGCCTATTTTCCCCTCACTGCAGAGGACCAAGCTGGGTAGATCTGGTTCTCCCCCATTATTAGCGCCCTCTGCCAAGGGTGCCAAATTTCCTGTGCCAGACTTCTGCACGCGTGCTATGTCAGGTCTCCGATAACCAGATTCGATCATGTCAAATCAGTCACTACGCATAGTCCCAGCTTCAGAAAATACAGAAACATGTGCTTAATCCATTCCTTTTGGCTACCAGCTAAACCATGCAAAACAGATGAAGCAAACATTTTACAGGAAAGTAAACAGGCTGTAGTGATGTATTTCTGTCACATCTGAAGTAGGTAATTACAGCTCTTCCCTTGCTGACGTTACCACAACCAATAATTCAGCTGACTCAGAAACCCTGCAGCCATTTTATGGGCCGAAACAAAATTCATCTAAGTCACCCTTTAAAAGAAAGCTGCACGTTTGGGGTTTTTTTTCGCAGAACAATACGTTGAAATTAACTCATTGAGGCAAACGATGCTTCTTTTCAGCGAAACGGTTACTGCCAGAATGAGGTTGAAGACATTCGTCTCTGTGAAGGCTGTGTTATTAATAGTATCCAAACTGATGTAGGTCAGGAAATGTTTCTCATTAGGTGAAAGGGTTCTTGCCAAGTAGCTTAGGCCTGAAATACAAGGCTGTCTCATAAACAAATGTACAAAGCCTGGTGGAAATGGAAATGGAGGCATGAATAAGCTCTGTGGGAAGAGCTCTGTTTCAATGAACTTTTTCCAGGCAACGCAGCGCAGGTCTGCGCTCAGTGAGGCTAACCTGCAACAGGTCTGCGCCCATTTTATTCTCAAGGGGCAAGAGAAAAACGACACACATTAGCACACTGCTACCTATGCTGTTTGGAATTGCACGTTATTATCAGCCGGTAACATTTTTCATGGACTCCATGCGTGTTTATCACTGATGGATTCATAGTATTTTCTACTCTTGAATATTATTCTGCTGGTGGAATGCAGAAAACTTACCAAGGGGCCACCCATTGAGTCATGGTCTGAAAGCCACTAAATTAGCATGTAATAGGAAAAGAAAACCATTTCAAAACATGGCACCTGCTCTGATTAGGTTAGTAGCAGTGGGGATACAAAAAAGTCCTGTCTCCAGCCAAACAAGCCATCTCTGGGCAAGAGGACACCGCCATGCAGTCAGTGAAGTTGAAAAATGAAAATAATGTAAATTTGTGCCATTAGGCATTCTCCTGAGAAGTAAAAAGAAATTGAACCTGCTGACCACAATTTGGGAGGAAGTATACTAGTGATGTAAGCAACTTCTGAATCTTTCATGACACCATTTACTGGGGGGGGGAAGGGAAGTTCCCTCCTATCATAAAATGCCACAATATTCTCAAGAGTGTTGGATGCGGAGGAGATGCAGCATGGAGGGAAGAGGTCATCTCTGCCCACTGTGCTCAACAACAGAAAGCAAAACCCTTTCACCACCTGGGCTCCCCAACCGACCCACCAAAAAACCAGGTTGGAGGATTTTTAATGAAGTTAATGCTGGAGAGTTCCATTTTTATGTGCATTTCTGTGTTACGTCATTTAAAACTTACCAAACCCTGCACTTCGGTTTGCTAAGCTAGAGTAGGCATTCCCACTCGGAGAAGAGGTGGCTGGGCTGGAAAGGGGGCTGTATGACGACGGATCGGCTGGGTAGGTGTGACTTGTTCCAATCCCAAAGGGAGATGACTGAGCCTTGCCAGACTGAGATGGAATTTGCTGAGGAATAAAGGGTAAAAGAAGGAATGAGTTTTATTGTTGAGGAACAGCACAGCAGACTCACTTTTTAACAATGTAAAGCAAAGACTAAATAAACTCTGCAGATGCGAACAGACACGTTATTCCTGTCTCAGCCATATTTAATTTCTGTCAAAGCCAATTTATTGCTGCAGAAGGAACACCACAGACTATAAACCCAACACTTACAGCTCTCCTGCTGATTAACTCGCATGTACTCAATATCAGAGCTATGTGGAAAGACAGGATTTCCTTCACCTCTATTACAAGGATTAATCTTAAACTAAACAGGTATAAAGAATTCACCTTTATTTGCCAGGGCGTTTTGATTTTGCAGTGCCACAGTAAAATCACAGTTATCTGACTGTCTTGCAGAATATATGCAGTTCTCAGATGACCAGAGTCTCCAGTGCTTGGGAGTAAATGGTCAAAGAAGTTTCAAAGCTAATGAGCTGCTTTCTCTCCCTGCCTAAGAAGTACAGGCAGCAGTTATTTTGCCTTGTAAAAGGCTTGGGAGGGAGCGTGAATCACCAGCCCCGGGGAGGAGGGAAGAAACAGTCTAACTTTGCTTTAACTGGGCAGCTGAGTTAATTTAAGGGTATTAAAAACCAACTCGCTGTCATTTTCATCTACATAATGGCGTCGTCATAGGATCTCCAAGAGTGTTACACAAACGATTAAACACTGCAGACCTCTTTGAGACATGTACAACACGTACACTGAGACTAAGGGAGGTGAAGGGTCTCATCCAAAGTCATGTGCCACAGCAACGTGTAATGCTACAGACAGAATCTGCTTATAAACCATTTCCTGCATTATGAACAAATCCAGCAGTTCCAAGAAAAACTCACTGCCTAACCAATTCCACAAATAGAAATTAAAGGTGATTACATCTCTGGATACTTCTAATGACGTGCACTGTTACTGGCAATCAATGCACTCAAGTGATGCTATTCTCCCCCGAAAGACAGGCAGCAGAATGAAGCCCCCATAATCCAAGGGGAAATGGTTAGTGACCTGCTACATCACTTAGACACACACAAGCCTATAGGGCCGGATGGGATCCACCCAAGGGTACTGAGGGAGCTGGGGGAAGTGCTCACCAAGCCACTTTCCATCCTTTATCAGCAGTCCTGGCTAACCGGGGAGGTCCCAGTTGTCTGGAGGTTAGCAAATGTGACGCCCATCTACCAGAAGGGCCGGAAGGAGGATCCAGAGAACTACAGGCCTGTCAGTCTGACACTGGTACTGGGGAAGGTTATGGAGCAGATCATCTTGAGTGCCATTATGCGGCACATACAGGACAACCAGGCGATCAGGCCCAGTCAGCATGGGTTTGTGAAAGGCAGGTCCTGCTTGACTAACCTAATCTCCTTCTATGACAAGGTGACCCGCTTAGTGGATGAGGGAAAGGCTGTAGATGTTGTCTACCTAGAATTTAGTAAAGACACTGACACCGTTTCTCACAGCATTCTCCTGGCAAAACTGGCTGCTCATGGCTTGGACAGGCACACTCTTTGCTGGGTAAAAATCTGTCTGGATGGCTGGGCCCAAATTGTTGTGGTGAATGGAGTAGAGAGTTGTGGTGGAGTTCAATCCAGCTGGCGGCCGGTCACGAGCGGTGTTCCCCAGGGCTCAGTTTTGGGGCTGGTCTTCTTCAGTATCTTTATCAATGATCTGGATGAGGGGATCGAGTGCACCCTCAGTAAGTTTGCAGACGACACCAACTTGGGCGGGAGTGTTGATCTGCTCGAGGGTAGGAAGGCTCTGCAGAGGGACCTGGCCAGGCTGGATTGATGGGCCCAGGCCAACTGTATGAGATTCAACAAGGCCAAGTGCCGGGTCCTGCACTTTGGCCACAACAACCCCATGCAACACTACAGGCTTGGGGAAAAGTGGCTGGAAAGCTGCCTGGCGGAAAAGGACCTGGGGGTGCTGGTCGACAGCCGGCTGAACATGAGCCGGCAGTGTGCCCCAATGGCCAAGAAGGCCAAGGGCATCCTGGCCTGTATCAGAACTAGTGTGGCCAGCAGGAGTAGGGAAGTGATCGTGCCCCTGTACTCGGCACTGG